GCCGTAGAATTTGGGGTGCTTGATGAGTTCCAGGAACAGCGGCAGGTCTGCCGAGTCCAGTCTCATTTGCTCCCATTTCAGGCCAATACCCTCGTAGATGGTGGTGTGCAGGAGTGGTGACAGGGAATGTGTAATTTTTTGGCCAAACAGGTAACCGTGGCGGTCAAGCTGTTCAATCTTGACCGCAATAGTGTCTTCCACCTGCTCGACGGGGGCAGCACTAGCCATTGTTGCTTGATGTGAGTTGGTTGAGTTTAGGAAAGTGAGTGAGTGATACTGGGGGTGAGATCAAGGGTTGTCTGTCTCTGTCTCTGTCTCTCTTGTTTGGTAGTTTCGAATGGTATCTGCAAGGCTGCTGTGCAACTGACTGAAGAACGGTAGGAATGGCGTTATGGCAAGATGCAACAAATGGAGAAAACCAGGGCTCTTTTTAGTCTAAAATCCGGTGGGAATTGTCAACCGCAGAAAATGGGGGGAAAATGGGGTCTAATGGAAGCCACTTTTTGTGCCTCGCTCTTACTCCCTTCTTGTTGTCTCCAAATGGAGATTCATCGGTCCAATGATAGCTGTATCGAATTAATCATTCTTGCGGAATACGGGGAAAAGTCCGGGGCACTAGAACGGGCTTCTCAAGATCGCGTGGAATCCGCATCAGGGCTTTTCCCATCGGCATCTCGCCGCGATTTCTGAGAGGGACTTCCGGCAAAGAACTCTCCAGTCAACAGCCAGTGAGAAGTGCCGGACAGTCTGGGCCTCGGAATGGTGGGCATACGACACCAAAGACGCCCGCCCCCCTGTTCGTTTGGTGCTCCCACTCATCCGAGTGCCAGTCTGGAGAATGTTTATCCTCCACTTTGGAGAAGTGTTCTTCCTGACAACCGGCGGCGCCTGACAAGTTCAGCGTCACCAGCCGTCAGTCTAGCTTCCCACGCCTTGGTTCAACCACCACACTTGGTGATGGGCACCGTACATCCCGCTACCACAGGCTCGGGGTGTGTAGACGTGCTGCAGAGCGTCATTCAGACTGGTCCGGCTACCCTCGGGCGCCCCAGAAATCCCCAGATCGGTATGCTTGGAAACATCTGACGCCGATAAGATGGGGTAGGTGGCGGGTGAATGACTTTCCTCCTCCTCCCTCCATCGCCCCTCGGGCGTCCGGTGTGGCCCGGATACAGTATGGCAGCAGACGAGATCATTGGGTAAAGCCACCTACCGTTCTCTGCGACAGAGTTGCCGTATGGGTCTGTCATTGCCATTCTGCTTAGATACAGGGATCGAGAGCTGCAAATAATCTTCCCGATCCCCTGCTGCCGAGGGCAAATGTATACCAGTAGACGTCCGCCTCTTTAGACTCAGGTACTCCCTCCATCCTACTTCTAAGTCCATCTTACTATTCTCAATACCAGAAAGACACCCACCACCTTATCGAAGTAACTTTGTGTTGTCTTCGCATTCCATTCGCACTTTGATACCCCTTGCTATTTTATCGCCGCCAACCTCACATCTCACACACAATCACAATGCCTTCCCGGTTAGGAATCAGCACAATGTCGCTCGGCCGATGCTGGGCAGGCCACAGCTTTGAGCACAAGATGGACATGGCCGCCAAGTATGGCTACCAGGGCATCGAGCTCTGGCACGAGGATCTCATGGACGTTGCCGAGCAGTTGCTTGGCGGTGCTGCCTTGATCGACAACCAACTCGCAGCTGCTGGCATTGTTAAGAGGATGTGCGACGTCCGCAACATCGAGATCATCTGCCTTCAGCCTTTCCAACACTTTGAGGGACTCATCGACCGTGAGCAGCACGCCCGCCGCATCGAGGAGTTGCGTGTTTGGATCCAGCTTGCCCACGTTCTCGGCACAGATCTGATCCAGATTCCCAGCAACGTCTTGCCCGCAGAGCAGGTTTCTGAGGATCTTGAACTTCACATTGCCGACCTTGCTGAAGTGGCCGACATTGGTGCTGCGTCCAACCCCCCTATCCAGTTCTCATATGAGTCTCTCTCATGGGGAACGAGGGTCGATGTTTGGGAGACCTGCTGGGAGGTGATTCAACGGGTCGACCGGCCCAACTTTGGCATGTGCCTCGATACGTTCAACATTGCCGGTCGCATCTTTGCGGACCCTACAGCAGCTTCCGGAAAGGTCGTCGATGCCGAGCAAGCCGTTAAAGACTCTATCCAACGGTTGCTCACGACTGTTGATGTCTCCAAGATTATCTACGTGCAGGTCGTCGACGCTGAGCGCCTCGCCGAGCCTATCTGCGAAACGCACCCCTACTACAACGCTGAGCAGCCGCACCGCATGTCTTGGTCAAGAAACTGCCGTCTATTCTACGGCGAGTATTCAAGAGGCGCGTATCTTCCCGTCCGGGAGCTTTGCGCCGCGATTTTTCAGGGTCTCGGTTTCGAGGGCTGGGTCAGCTTTGAGCTGTTCAACAGGAGGATGTCAGAGGAGGACCACGGTGTCCCTGAGGAATTGGCAAAGAGAGGAGCCGTCGCTTGGTCTAAGCTCGTGAGAGACATGAGGCTGAGAGTAGAAGAGCCATCAGCACAGGTTACGGCGTCACTATGAGGGGAGAAGACATGAAGATTGAACATTTTGCATAGCGATTATATAGTATTTACACTACTGTTTCTTTTTCTTTGAGGAAAACAATCTTCATATTGAAGTCTCCAGATCAACATTGGCTCCTCCTTTTCGATTCCGTGTGCGTGACCCCATGAAGTTTCCTACTTCAACAATAGTTGAGACGCCTAGGCATACGGACGTGTGATGTATGAACCTAGTTATAGAGCTTTAGTTATCGATAACGGCTCTTCAGTTTATTGTATTCCAGAAGAAAAACTTCACAGTATTGATGCAGAGGATCCGGCGAATCGTTTCTATCATGTGCTAGTCTTGAGATGAGCCCGATTAATGAGTTTTTGATGAAAAGTCAATCAACTTGGATGAATTTCCACGCTCAGATTCGAAGTACGATGAGTCTTTGTCTTCACAAGTCATCAACTTCTCAAGATCTGCCAACACAGGAGCTTTGCCAATGCTTACACGGCTGCATATTAACCGCCGTGTCATTTCACATAAGATCCAGGCCATCCCTCTCTATGTTTTACTCCGTTTTCACTCATCCTGGAGCTCTCGAGGTGACAATGTCGCAGAAATATGAGTGAGTGCCCCTCCTTTCTCGGAAGTCCACCACCAACCAGCCTTAGTAATGGACCTTTTGGCAGTGTTCCTTGACCTCTAAGGATCCGGTTAGCGGCCTATGGGACCATTTTTGGGCTCTTTAGGCGGGGCCCTATGCGGGGATGCCCCGCTGATAGAGCACCGGACGTCATCCGCTGTGCTTCCGCAGTGGATGATTCTTCGGTTGGCGGCGGCCCAGCCGTCGAGTCACCACCGATTTGCAGCTTAGGTGCTCTGATAACGCAAGCTAGGTGAGCCCGGTGCCGACTGCGGACAGCTTGTCTCGTTGCCTCGTGCTCTTTCTCGCAGTTTCACACAACTCTCTCTGACTCTGATCTGACTCTTCCATTGTTTGGCTTGCTCTCCTCCTAGCTTTACCGTGCAGCTTGTCTACCAATCTTTCCAGTCATAGGTCATACGAATCACAGAAAACCGTCACAATGGTCGACATTAGCGACGCCGAGCTCCGCGAAATCTACGACTTTGCCATCCAGTTGGGCAAAGAGGCGGGAGAGATGCTCATGACGGCGGCCAAGTCAAGATGGGGATCCGGAGGCGAGACGCAGGCATTCACAGAAAAGGATAACTCGGTCGATCTGGTGACCAAGACAGACACAGGTGCGTTGACTCTGCATCTGCCGATATCCCAATGCGCGTTGAGGCAACTTGTTTCTTGCTGACAGCACGGTGCCCGCTCCTAGAAGTCGAAGCTTTCATCCACACATCCGTCGCAAAGAAGTATCCCAGCCACAAGTGAGTCGACTCACCTGATAGCCTCGACTCTGTAATGTCTCGGACAGTCTGATATTGACAAGCTTGCAGCTTCCTAGGCGAAGAGACATATTCGGCCGGCGCATCGCGTGACTACCTTGTCGACGAACGGCCGACATGGATTGTTGACCCCCTCGATGGCACCGTCAACTTCACCCACTTATTCCCAATGTTCTGCGTCTCCATCGGATTCGCTATCAAGGGCAAGCCCGTCATTGGCGTCATCAACGCCCCCTTCTTGAACCAGACTTTCTCGTCGCTCAAGGGACATGGTGCGTGGATGAACGAGACACAGAGGCTGCCGCTCGTTCTAAACCCACTGCCCGCCAATGCGCCTAGCGGCTGCGTTTTCTCCTGCGAATGGGGCAAGGATCGTCGAGACACACCGGACGGCAACATGCACCGCAAGGTCGAGAGCTTCATGAACATGGCTGCCGAGCGTAAGGGACGCGGCGGCAAGGGTGGCATGGTGCATGGCATGAGGAGCTTGGGAAGGTGAGTTCGAACACGTCTACTGTGTGGTATGGCTTGGATGGGGACGCTTGCTGACGATATAGTGCTACTCTGGATCTGGCATACACAGCAATGGGATCATTTGACATTTGGTGGGAGGGCGGATGCTGGGAATGGTGAGACAGCCCGACCATCACAGACTCAACAAGGCACGGGAACTGACACAACTGCTTTAGGGACGTTGCTGCAGGCTTCGCGATTCTCGAGGAGGCCGGTGGTCTCGTAACAATAGCCAACCCTCCCGAAGACACGAGCGTCGTCCCGGAAGCGAAGCTCGGCGGCAGACTTTACCTCGCTATTCGGTTCGTCGAGCCCTCGGGCGGAATGCTAGACATTGCTAACACTACGCAGACCCGCAGGATCGACCGAGACCGAGACGGCACGAGAGGCGCAGGAAAGAGTGGTGCGGGAGACGTGGAAGCGAGTAAGAACGTTGGACTACTCGAGACCCGGTGCGTAAAGCATGTAAATGGCAGAAGGAGAAGGAGAAGAAAGACAAATAGAAGGAATCCAATTCAATCGAGTCTAAAGATCAGTCTGTGCCTGCTCCCCAGCCCACGCTCTGCGGATGATTTCACGAATCGTAACCTTCTCCAGAGGACGGGGATTCCAATATGGCTTATCGGATGCCACGTCAGCAACGCGGTCAATGTCCTTCTCCTGCATACCGATATCCTTGAGGCCCGTAGGGATGTCCAGGACCCGGAGTAACTTATTCAGGCCAGCTACGATGCCCGCAGGCGAATCCTCGGTACTCTGCGCGAGAGCGAAGGAGAGCTTGGTCCTAGTGTCCTCGGGAAAGGCCTGCGCGTTGAACGCCATACTGTGCGGCAGGAAGATCGAGTGTGTCTCGGCGTGAGGGAGATTCAGAGTACCGCCGGCCGCGTGAGCCAGCTTGTGCTGTAGCGCGATGCCGGTTGCTGCCGCCAACAAGCCAGCCAGGAACGCGCCGTACAGAGCCGAGGTGCGTGCCTCGACCGAGGAGGGGTCTGACACAATCACTGGTAGGGCACTCGACAGTGCCCTGATGGACTCCAAAGCAAAGTGGTCTGTCAGCGGGCTAGCCTGGCGGGAGTATAATGCTTCAACTAGATCAAATGTCAGTTCCTGCTTAAGAAATAACCTTGGGATGGGCGGCCTACATGAGTGCGCCATAGCGTTGATACCACTTGGACCGCTGACTTTTACCGGCAAATCCATGGTCAGGTCAACGTCGTAGATGACCACCTTGGGCAAGATCTTGGGGTCTGTTGTTGACGTCTTCTTTCCATCTTTTGTCTCCCCGATGATGGGTGTCATCTCGGAGCCCGAGTACGTTGTTGGAATAGCCACTTGCGGCATGCCGGTGCGAAGAGCAATTGCCTTTCCTAGACCGACGGCACTGCCGCCTCCGACTGATATGAGAACATCGCGGCCCTGTGCTCGGTCAACGGCGGGACCGATGATGTCGCTCGGGTTGTGGACAATGGCAGTATCGAGAATTTCCACGTCTGAAAAGCCTGTTTCTTTCAAGCTGTCCAGGATCCTTTTTGCGAGAGAAGTCCGAGACGGGGAGCAGATGATGAGAGGTTTCGAGAACTTGCGGGACTGGAGTTCGCCGGGTAGCTCATTGACAGAGCCCGGCCCGAAGAAAACTTTGGGGGTGGTGATGCCAAAGACAAAGGGATTTATGGTGTCCATAGCAAAGGGTAGATATTCAGTGCCTGTGTATAGGAGAACGAATTCTGGTGCATGTCATGAAGGAAGATATAGGTAAGTGCGTTTATACAGGAAGCTTGCCGTTCATTCTGTCAGTCGTTTGTCATCGGCGGGGAGCGGGGTCCGACCGCTGCGGAGGTTACCCAAGTCCCGGGCCCGGCGTTGGAGGTCGGCAGTTGACAGCTGGGCCGATACGTGGGCGGAAGAAGCATCTCGTCACACGATTCCAAGCCCTCTAATTCTTTTGATGAAGTCGCCAACTGCCGTCAGGCCATGCTCGCTCTCTTACTCCGAAAGGCAAAGATCTCCCAGGACACCAGAACGCCAGGAGTAGAAGTCACTGCATCATCAAGATGCAACAGAGTTGAAATGGTTCCTTGAATGGCTCATCCTTTTCTACAGACGGCACTGGAGGGTATCATTAAGTAAATGTAAGATATCAGTCTAGTCCAAGCCGTCAAAGCCTAGGATGCCGTGCGCGCCCATTGGGCCAAGCTTGTCGGCTCCCGTGTTCTGGCGCTTGCTTCGTGGCTTTGAATCGTCATCACTGTCGCTATCATCATCACTGTCGCTGTCTGCCCGGCGCTTGCCAGAGGTCTCGTCATCGCTATCGCTGTCGCTATCCTCGTCACTGCCTTGGGGCTCGCCCTGAAGCTCGGACAGCTCCTCCCATACCTTAACCGTCCTACCGCCGGCAGTTATCAGGCGATTCTGAGAGTCAAAGGCAACGGAAATGACACCTTCAACGTCGTCATGGCGGAGATTCAGGGACTTGTCGACCTCCCTAGTTACCAAGTCCACCACCCGGAGGCTACCATCACCGAGGCCGACGACCAGCTTCTTCCCCAGCCCAAGCTCTTCGGGGACCAAGGCCAGAGCGTCCAGACTCTCACCGCCGCTCTTGCCGCCGTCAACGATGATGCGTTCTTGTTGGTCATCCCAAGCACCCTTGTCCCAGACCGTGACCACCCCGGAGCCGGATCCGACAGCGACGATACCGTTGTTCCTGTTATTCTTGGGGCCGAGGCCGGGGACGTAGGCAGCAGATAGCAGCTCGTCTTCTTGGTCGTCGGAGCGGACAAGAACGCCTCTGCGCACATCTGTCACAGCGAGCGTCGTTCCACCAATAGAGACCCATTGCTTGGAGAAGCCAGAGGTGCTCTCGGCGGAAGGAGGCAACGGGACGATGGCAGAGACGTAGTCGGAGTGAGGGAAGTGTGTCTGAGCAGGCTTGGCCGAGGGGACGCCGTCCCGCAGGTCAAATATGTGCATAGCTCCGGAGTCGCAGCCGAGAAGGAGGCTCTGAGAACTCAGAACGTGCATGAGTGTCGGGGCGTCGATCTGCTTATTCGAGGAGGGGATGATGACTTTAGAGATGACCTTGCCGGTCGTCGGGGAGAAGTGCTTGATCAAGCCATCCGTGCCGGCGGAGTAGAGGGCTATCAATTCAAAGAAGACAAGTCAGCCAGGGTTTCGAAGAGAAAATGCCATTGATCTTTGTAGCGCATTAGGCGCATAGCTACGTACCAGAACCATCGTGGCTGTAGGCCAGGGCTCTACAGCTTCCCTTGTGACGCCTTGTGCGCCAGACGCTGTCGATAGCCCCACGACCGCTTGATGCTATGCTCGTATCGGGGTCATCGGAAGCTTCAGAATCGTTGTCGCCGGAGGAAGGGAGACGGAAGGTTTCGACGTGGCCGGTAGACAAGCCAACGGTCAGTAGCGGCTCGGTAGGGTGGAGGACCTGGGTGAAGACCTCGGCGGAGAGGGGGAGGGTGCAGAGGTTCTCAAACATGATTGCTGCATCAATTGGGCAGATGAAGCTCTGTTGCAGAAATACCAGCTGTAGCAATGTGCGAAGGAAGTCGTGGGGACCCAAGTTGAGGCGGTCTCAAGGTCGAAATAGGCAGGAAGCTGAGCGATGGGAGAGGTAGCTGGCTTAGACACACGCAGGCCGGCGGCGGGATGAAATTTTCAAGGTGAAGGGCTCACCGAGATGTGGGTACCCCGCTAGAGCTCTCACCGAAGCGCAGACCTTGTTCCTGCTCGAAGTGAAGAACGGACCGGGAAAGACCTGGTCGACCTGTTTGGAAGCTGCAAAACGCACAATACCCGAGCGCTCGGTTTCGTGTCTCTTTGTTGCCAGTTCCCAACAGCCTAAGGGATCGGTCAGTTGGGATGCCTTACCTTCCTGGGTAGGTAATACCTTAGGCTGGCAAGTAATCATGAAGAGGTTCGTCCACCCGCATCAAAGTTACGTTCGAGTTGGTTGGGTCCCCTCCGCTGCAACACACCAACCAGCCAGTCATTGCGTAAGCCGGCGACTTGAAGACTGTCCCACCGGCAAAGTCACCAACTGAACTGGCGCAGACATTCGGGGCTCGGATGGAATGAAGATTGTTGATATGCATCATTTTCCATTTGCTGCACCCTTTCCCATCCTGATTGCTCGAGGTTTCTGAAATGAGAAGAGAAACTGTGAGTCCTAAGGTCATTCCTGGTACATATCTTGTTGTCTTCAGAGTGCCTTCCATTCCATGAAGTTGTTCGTAGGTATCTACTCCGTACGTACCTTACGAATATTCGTATCTGCTCGCCCTCTGCCGTCCTGGAAAGAGCGTCCCGTCGTCTTAAGGTTAATTGCTGCGGGGTCCATCCCCTCCGGCAAGCAGGTGCGCCAATGCCGCCAAACACCACTTGAGCACCGTGGTAGGGCGCATCCGCCACAGCGGGGTTCCTGCACCGAGAAGATCCCGGCGGAAAGAGGAAGTTGAGGAAACATCGGACACCCGGCAGCTGATTCATCTGCCGTTTCTCCTTCTCTTTTGTTTCGCCCGTCTTTGGCCTGTTCCTTTGCGTTTAAGTCTGCTGCCCATCTTTTTGACTATCTCTAACTCGACCCCAACACGCTCTCTCTCACCTTTTGTTTTCATCCCTCGTCTCCAAGCTCATGCACGCGCCCTGTGAGAGCTTCCACACCTCGAAGCCATCATCCCTTACAACGCTGGCACCGACATGAAGCTACTGTCCACCGCTCTGGGCGGTCTGCTCATACTTTTGCAGTCCGCCGCAATGGCCTCGGCCCAAGAGACCGCCGAAAGGGCTGCATCCGATCTCAAATGCGTCATGTATCTCACTGGGTGAGTAAATAGCTTCTACTAACACTCATCACAAGGCGGCTTGAGTAGGTGGCTAAGGTAGACGGACATGAACCGCTAACGCAAGCCACAGCCAACACCCAAACGTCCCCTCTAGAGAGCTTGTGTCTCACATCACGCACGTGGAGCTGGCTTTCATGAACTCGGACACCTTCAACAAGGACGTGGCCGAGTGGCCCCTCTTCACCACCGTCGATAAGGTCCGTACTCAGTTCATGCCGGGCACCAAGGTTATGGTCGCCATTGGCGGCTGGAGTGACACCAAGGGCTTCGATACCGCCGCCCGCACCCCGGAGTCGCGAAGGAAGTGGGCCCAGAATGTTGCCGACATGGTCAAGGCAACCGGTGCTGACGGTATTGATATGGATTGGGTGAGCTTCAATCACTATACCTGTGGCCATTACAAAGACCCGCAGCAGAGACAGTTACTAAACCCCAACCCAGCGGTAATGGCGAGGACTACAAGGTTGAGAACAGCACCAACGAGAAGAAGAAGTGGGAGATTGAGGCATACCCCTTGCTGCTTGAGGAGGTCCGCAGGCAGCTCCCCAAGGGCAAGCTCATCTCGGCCGCGACTCCAGGTCTTGAACGCGACATGATTGCCTTCACCAAGGAGACGGTCCCTCGTATCGTCCGCAGTCTCGACTTTGTCAATGTCATGACCTACGACATGATGAACCGCCGCGATAATGTGACCAAGCACCACACAGGCATGGAGCTGTCCAGAATTGCTGTCGATAACTACATGGCCAGAGGAGTACCGGCTCACAAGATCAATCTCGGCTTCGCCTTTTACACCAAGTGGTTCAAGACGACGGATTGCCCCGAGGGCAAAGAGGTTGGATGCCCGACACCACTCATGGAGGATCCCGTTACGGGCGGGGATCTGGGCCAGACGGGAGGCTTTAGCTGGAACGATGGGGTTCAAGAAGACGTAAAAGCCTCTTTCGAGAGAGCTCAGAAGGAAGGCAAGTATGACAAGGAGGGCGGAGGCTACTACTACCTTGACAGGGCCGAGAAGCGGTTCTGGACATACGATACCCCCGATGCCATCCTGCGCAAATTCCCCGCCCTCGTCGACGATAAAAGACTCGGTGGCGTATTCGCTTGGGGCCTGGGCGAGGACGGCCCTGAGTACAACAACCTCAAGGCGGTCAACAAAGGTCTGGCAGAGCGCAGGGGTAGAGGAAGCTTCCCCTGGGGCCCTGGCCCTCACGAGGCTGATGAGCTGTAGGTGACCCCTAGGCAGAGCCAGCAAAGCTTTGCCATCACTTTCTGTGTCAATGTGTGAACAACCAGACTCACTGCCGGGTTGCGCATAGTGCCAATCGTGCACCGTAGCACGTGAACTGAGGACGTTGGCTGATGGATCTCAGCCTGTAACCCCGGGCTTATTTGGGGTTATTAGAGTGTGGTTGACGATGGAAAAGTTGAGAAACTTTGAAGCTGATGAGCGGCCTACTCGTGCTCGCCGTAGCGAGGCCCTATGCAAATACGGTTGAATTAAAAAAAAAATCTTCAACTGGCAACATTGGCTCTGTCGTAGCCCATGCCTGTGCCCTGCGTGTGGTACACATAGAGTGTGTTATGGCTCGGTCGGTTACCCCAGGTTGACAGGCTAACCATGTGGTTGCCGGAACGGACGATGGCGTCTGCAGCTAATTGCCCAGATTCTGTATGGGGATGTATAGGTAGATACGTATAAGAGTCGGTAGTCTGAACAGACTCGCATCTCTGGAGCAGATACCTAACCTGGCGTGTCTGGGTACTCCGTACTGTCTCTCATCAGACACTAGCTTCGTTCACTAACATTCGTGCAGAGGGCTGTCAGGTTGAATCTAGTGGGCGAATAGGGTTGCTCGGCGATCTAACGAAATGCATGTCTCATCCATGTGTCTTGGAATAATCCGCCTCGACGTGATAGCGCTCAGCTGTGTCATGTGGAATTGTTGGCGCCGTGAGTTCGGAGCAGAAGCGCCGCCGTTGATCTTCAACCACAGAGAATCTTATGGTTCGCGGTCAGAGCCGAAGATGAGATTTGAACAAGGATACCTAAAGGCGAGACAGTACCTAGGACGAAAGAAGGACAGGGTCTAAGGGTTCACGGTGTTCACAGGGTTCAAGAGGGTCCATCTCGAAAGGCTTGGAAGACGAGGTTCAAGCTGTCGTTGTTGCAAAAGGGACTCTGTCGATATGGAGGGGCGAGAGGGCGATGGGAGGACGCGTAAGTATCCGCAAAGGGTTGGCTCAGGCAAGAGGCTGAATGAACCTTGAAGTGAAAGGCGAGGCGAGGTAAGCGAGGGTGCGTGGGCGATGAACGCACCTGGCGGTCTGAGAGGCTGTTGGCACTGCAGTGTGGCACTGGGCGGGAGGTTGGAAGTTGTATGGAAAGACGGTGGACTCACGTCATCAGGGATCAAAGTATTCCCCAGCCTCAACTCTGGGCCCTTGGAACCAACCCTTGGAACCCATGCCTTGCAAATGGAAATCCTCGGCGGGTGACGGATATCGTCGTGCCGGAGCCGAGACCGGGCGGGGAGGACCCGCTCTTTGCCGGCGTTGGCTTCACAAGTTCATATGCGCCTGCCTCGATTTGGGCTGGTGGCAGTTGACGCACGAAGACCTTGAGTGCGCGTCGAGCTTGTGCAGCTCGGATGGATGTGCTGGTGATGCCCTTGGCTTGGCTAGCACCGGTAGTTGGTAGACAGTGCGGAAAGGGCGTACGTGTGAGTCTGCGAGATACCTACCTAGCTAAATAAGTGGCTCGACTGATGGATGCACGGGTCCGTCATCCATGCCTCTGCATCACGGGCAAAAGCCTGCAGAATGCAGGGTCGCGGAGAGAGGTGCGGTGAACACTCACACTCTGGACCGTGGAGGCGAGTCGAGCTGGGGAATGTGTTACTGATCTAGGCGAGATAGAGCCTAATAAGTAAATGGCACATCTATGTGTAGTTTTGGATGAGGAGGACAGAGTAGGACGATCGATTGTTCGAGCCAGCGCATGTCTTGAACTATCAAGCATCCTAGGCATTCTAGGCCTCGATGAAGTCAGTTTCTGATCTGTGTTTGTGGGTGTCTGCCAAGGGACCCTGAGACTGTATGCCTGCAATGCCTACAGTGCCAGGGTTCAAGTGGAAATAGCTTCTTTCTTTCTCTTAATTTCTTGCTTCATTTTGAACACTTATTCTGCCTTATAGTCGCGTCAGGCGAGCAAACGTCAACAGGCATCAAAGGGTCGGCAACGGCGTTCCGGTCTAGAACATGGTAGACGGAGCGAATACGGCTTGGAAGTCTGGAAATATCCTGGAGATTGCAGAGACACTCGACGTGTGACTAGACATGACATGGCACGCCTGAGTCTTAGACTCTTCCATGTTCTCCATGTTTGTTTGGTTGACGGGATTTTCGCTGGGATTGCAGATGATGGAAGGTGCGAGGCACGTCTGAGCGACGCTTACCTAAAATCGAGATGAAATAGCGGAGACTACCAGCTAAGCGAGTGTCATCCGCCACGATGAATGGCCTGAAGTGGCTGAAGATTAGCGGCGACTCACTGTTAGCGCCTGTATTTCATTGGCGAGAATGGCCTGTCAGCCCTGGTGGAGGCATCCCGAGGTCGACAATGAGGTCATGGCCACAGCTGGAACCACGTCATTCTCTGCCCTCCACATCACCACACGCCCCTCCTTCCACCTCACCTCACAGGCTCACCCCCCCTAAGCCACGGTAGCATTACGCATCGTCAACTCCTCACGGCTGGGCCAATGTGCCATTTCACGTTGGGTACCTGACAATTTACAGAGTTCTCGGCTGATGACTACGTAGTGGTGACTTAGGTTAACCAAGCCCAACAACGGCGGTCTGGTTTTGCCTGGCGTGTGAAAGCCGAGCTATTTCCTTCCTATCCGATGCGTCTTTCTGCTGCTGCCGCTCCTCCACGCCCCCCGTCTGACGCCATTCTACCTACTAGTGATTCGTAGTCCAACAGGGAAAACTCGCCCAGCGTCTCTCACCTTTCGCACACTACTTATTCAATGCCATTGCCTCTGCCAATCTGATGCCTGTGAAGCACTTACTTCTCCATCCATCCAACCTCATCAACCTACCCAGCTCTTGATACCCTCGCAGACCTGCGATACCTCCATCAATCTACAACATCCCAGCCAAACACATCATCAGCGACAAACATCTAGACGCCCACTATGGTCTCCCTCGTACCTATCGCCCACATCGTGGCGGCCGTCTTTTCCATCATCGAGCTCGGCCTTACTTCATATGGTATGTTTTGACTTCTCCCCACTTCAGCCCTTCATCAATACATGAACTAACACCATTACAGTTGCTAGCGGCTACAACGGCTGGAGCGGTTGGTGGACTCGCTCTCCCGATATCGTCAACTTCCTCATCTTCAACTCCGTCTGGTCACTGCTGGTCCTCGCCTACGTTGGCCTGACCCCTCTGTACATGACCCGCCTCTTCCACAAGCTCGTCTCCCTCGCCCTGCTTGTCATCACCACCATCTTCTGGTTCGCCGGTGCCATCGCCCTTGCCGTCTTTGTCGGCGCCCCTCACTGCGGTGCCAACACATACTGCGGCTCCGCCCAGGCTGCCGTCGCCTTTGCTTTCTTCATCTGGGCCATCTTCATGTTCCTCACTGTCCTTGACACCCTCGAGGCTATGCGCTCGCGCGGCCATGCCACCAAGCACAACCATGCCTACCCCGGTGCTTAAACAGTGACGACCCTTGATGGAAGCGATACAATTTGGCTTGATTTCGAACGGCCTTTGGAATGACGTGGAAATACCCCGAAGTATGAAACGGAGTTATGGGCTATTTGTTTTTTTGGTGTGCTTAGCCACCACACGCAGCAGGTGTTACGGTTTATGTTCGTCGTTAGATGTACGATGTTCCTAGCGAACATGGGTTACTATCCCATATAATACCATCAATTATGCGCGCGAAATTCGAGTTCCATGTGTGTTTTAATAAGCGTGAAGAAGATACCCGAGTTGTTCGTTAAATTGTGTATGCTCTGGAATAGCTATTTGCATTGAGTACGAATCGAGTACATGTCTTTCAGCATTGTCTTCATGGGTTAGAAATCCAAGTATGTGAATTTCAGAGCTTCTAACTACTTACCTTACCATGTCTGTCATTCCCAGGTCTATCTATGTCGATATCATCCAAATTTGGTACCTAACACAACGTTTAAGTGCGTCGTACGACATTCGCCTGATTGGAATGCCTCGAGAATCCATGGATACAAAGTCTCTTTGGTCAGATTATGGTTATCGAGATCAACGTGGGTCGCCCAGGAGCCCTCGCGGGACATCAACGGCTACGTGATGTATCCCATCGACTTTCAGAACCATGAAATCCATTAATAATCCTTTGACGTGAAGCTTCGTGTCATCTATGTCCTGCTTCCAAGAGACATAGGTAGCTCGTGATGAGTTTGGCATTCCGTAGCATTGGAAGTGTTTGACTCCAGCGTAAGAAGCTCATATTTGATTCCCAAATTGTCATGTCTGGTAAGGACGTGCATGTCCTCTTGTACTTTGGAAGATCTCCAAGACCCAACCTTCCGGACTGATGAAGAATTCGTACGGACAGACATTTCAAGCTGTCGAACCTTATCTAGGTCCTGGGGGGTCGCCGCCAATGACTCGTGGGGTTGATATAGGCGTCTTGGCGGTGATCCGCTCTGGTTGAGATACCGTGGTACGGCAGCGAAGCGTTTTTTTTGGCACCGGTGACGCCGGCCTCCGCTTACCGGCTCGGGGAACGGAGACCTGAGCTGTCGGGTCTGAACAGCGAGCACCGGCTGCTGGTAGGCCCGGGGGATTGGTTGGCCAAGACGGGAGTCTGGTGTCGTCGGTCAAGAGTTCACCTCGGTGTATCTGCAGGTTGGGCACGTGCATCGGGTACAACCAGTGAGGTTGACGATGCAATGGAAGGGCAGGAAGGAGGAACTTAGGAAGTCGTGGGTGGTGATGCCGATGTCAACCTTCCTTATCAGCCCTGGACTGCCACCGCCTGGGACGGTGGGACCGGAGCTTGGGAGGGCCCAATTGACGAATGAGGGGACGTCCTGTCGGCACGCAGTTCTGCTCCACAGCAGGTGCGGGGCCGCCAAGGACCGCTAGTGGAGCCGTACCGCCGTTGACCCCTCACTCTTGCGGGACAGCTAGGAAACAACAAACTCGGGGAGCTCCTCCGCATCCCTGAAGCTGTCCTGCCTTGCCCGGCTTGCCTGGTTCGCGGAACACCACCATTTCCCCTTACCTCTTGAGCTCTTTCTGCTTGTCCGGTATTACTTCATAGGTCATACTCTTCTATGTTTCCTTTTCCAGGGTTGTGATCCTTCCATTGACACGTGCTGATAACCAGCGCATTCTACGGTCGGCCCTCAATTCCCCATTCATCTTATCCCATGCTGAGGGTGTTGCCGACCTTGTCCCTGTCCCTCTGGTACACGGGACGGAATCGTACGGACAGGCTGCTAAATCTTTCACAGGGAAGACATCAGACGGCTATACCGAATGCAAGCATGTTGCCCGATATCTTCCCAGGGCCTATCCAATCTGCAGCCTTCCATGAACTGCTCAGCATCATGTTGCTAGACTAGCAATGTATTGGTTATCTTAAACTACGTATTCCGCATTGCGGATCCTGCCAGAGCTATCGGTCATTGCAGCTGCTGGTCGTCTTGGCAAAACAACCACCACGCCCTTCAGACTCCAGAAGAGAGACCTACATAAGATCGGGGACACATCGACTCGCGTCTACTCACGTACCTAGTCTCGTCCCTCTCCCCGTCATCTCTATCCACAGCTCCAGCTCCAGCTCTCGTAGTCCTCCCTCGGTCCTCTTCCCGGCGAGTCCTCAGTTGATTGCTGTGTCCCTTCGTCGTGCGAGACATCGACCAGTCATCATCGACCATTAGTCAAGATGCATCTCAACTCCATCGTCGTCTCAGGCCTCGTGGCTGCCGCTTCCCGGCAGGTCAATGCTGTCCCTTGTCCTAAGCCAGCACCTATCTACAAGCCCATCACCAACATCCAATTGGGGCCGAGACCCTACTGGTTGGTCAACAACATGGACGAGGGTCCTCTGAAGGACAAGCTGCAGTCGTGCTCGGAACAGCCCATCAAGCCCTCCAACTGGAGCATTGGGCACCGCGGCGGTGGCACTATGATGATCCCCGAAGAGTCGGTCGAGTCAAACCTCGCCGGTGCGCGTATGGGTGCTGGCGTTCTCGAGTGCGATGTTGCTTTCACCAAGGACCGCGAACTAGTCTGCCGGCACTCCCAATGCGATCTTCACACGACGACCAACATCGTTACCATCCCCAAGCTCAACGCCAAGTGCACCACACCCTTTACTCCCGCTGGCAACGGTACAGCCGCGACCGCCAAGTGTTGCACATCGGACATCACCGTCGCTGAGTTCAAGACTCTCTGCAGCAAGATGGATGGCTTCAATACCTCGGCCGTCAACCCGGAGGACTTCTTGCTCGGTACCCCGAGATATCGAACCGACCTCTACTCTACATGCGGAACCGTTATGACCCACAAGGAACACCTCGCCATGACCAATGACTTGGGTCTGCAGTTCAGTCCTGAGCTCAAGGTTCCCGAGGTTGAGATGCCTTTCGAGGGAGACTACACGCAAGAACAGTACGCGCAACAGCTGATTGACGAGTACAAGGAAGCTGGAATTGCCCCTGAGCGGGTCTGGCCTCAGTCGTTCTACTACCCTGATATCCTCTACTGGCTCAAGGCCGAGCCCGAGTTCGGCAAGCAGGGCGTTCTCTTGGACGAGAGCGGAGACACCCCCGAGACCTTCCCAGGAGCCGTTGCCAACCTGACCGAGTTCGCTGCTGCTGGTGTCAAGATTATGGCCCCTCCTTTGTACTACCTCGTGACCGTTGAAGATGGCAAGATTGTGCCCAGTTCGTATGCGACCAGGGCCAAGGAGTTGGGTCTCGACATCATCTCATGGTCCCTGGAGCGTTCTGGCTTCCTCGGAGACGAGACCAAAGGTGCTTACTACTACACTTCCATCGCCAACGTCACAAACAATGACGGCGATGTTTACAACCTGCTCCACGTTCTTGCTCAAGACGTTGGTGTGTTGAGCATCTTTTCGGACTGGAGTGCCACTGCCACCTATTACGCCAATTGTTTTGGTCTATTCTAGGTGCTTGTGAGAAGCACGATGAGGTGGTACCTTAGGACAAGCGAATATAATCCAAAAGTATTTCTAATTCTGACGATCATGATCAATGTTGAGATAGAACATATGGTAGAAATGTAGCGATGATGTGAACAACGACACCCATTTCACAAGGAGAGGAGCCGGTTACGACTTGCACATGAATAATGATGCTTTTCTTTTTACAAACAACGATATGAGATATTGCAATATCCGAATTGCGCTATTCATCAGAGAACGACAAAAGCCGTCCACTGCTTCCCGTAGTGTACCTCGTAGAGAAGATAGTTGACCAATCGACTTACAAGAGTTTCCAATTCTAAGTGGGTATCATCCATCCAGCAGATCTATACCGAGTTCACCGACACGGTGAGTTGGGGCCTGACCTTGAATTTTGGTACCCCGCCATTAGCGCAACCCCGCCATCGACCGATTCCTCTTCCTCAACCCGTCAACCAGAAAATAAAAAGTTTTTTTTCTTCGCAACAGCCGGCGGCCATGGCAGAACTCTCAGCGGCACCCGTCCTTTCGACGCCCGCCGAACACACCTTTGAATACCCAACACCGACGCCTCCGCCTCCGCCTCCGCCAACCGCCGACCGCACCCAAGATGAACTCGCTTCCGTCTACGAGATCGAGCGCACGGCGCGCGAGATCAAGGAGGGCGGCTGGAACCGCGTCGCCCTCCAGTTCCCTGACGCCATGCTGCGCGACGCCTCGTGGGTCGCAGAGGCGCTGACGGAAGCCCTGGGCGGCAGCGAATCCCATCGGGTGTATATCCTCGCCGACACGTCCTACAGCGCCTGCTGCGTCGACGAGATCGCGGCCGAGCATGCCGACGCCCAGATTGTCGTACACTATGGCCGTTCATGTCTGTCACCGACGTCGAGGCTGCCCGTTATCTACGTCTTTACGCGGCACACCCTCGATATTGACCAGGCAGTCGAGGCTTTCTGCAAAGAATTCCCGGACAAGCAGCACAAGGTGGTTGTGGTGGCCGACGTCACATATCAGGACCACGTCGTTCCCCTCACCACGAAACTGCGCTCCGCTGGGTACACAGAGTTGCTGTATACCGAAGTGGCACACGACCCGACCGGCACGATCCCGAACCGCAAGATCATCGACTCTTCCTCCTCCTCAAACGCCCCGCAGACCACCGACCTGTCCGAGCGCTCCCTCTTCCACATCTCGACACCACCCCCGGCGCTCCTCCTCGCCCTCCAGACCCGCATGGCCTCCCTCCATGTTCTCTCGACGCCGAGCCTGTCGACCGAGGATCCGACACGGACAACAAATGCCCTCCTCCGCCGGCGCTTCGCCCGCGTCCTGACACTGGCCACGGCCGGTGTGGTGGGCATCCTCGTCAACACGCTCTCCGTGTCCAACTACCTCGGAAGCATCGACCTCCTGCGCCGGCGCATCGCCGAAGCCGGGAAAAAGAGCTACACGGTCGTGGTGGGCAAGCTGAACGCCGCGAAGCTGGCCAACTTTGCCGAAGTCGACGGCTGGGTTGTCGTGGGGTGCTGGGAGAGCGGCCTGGTGGAGGAGGACGCCGGATTCTTCAAGCCTGTCATCACGCCCTTTGAGATGGAGGTGGCGCTGAAGCCGGAGAGCGAGCGCGTGTGGGGCCTCGAGTGGTGGGGAGGCATCGAGAAGATGGACCACGACGCGGTCAGACACGAGGAGGAGGCGCTGGACGAGGACGAGTCGGCGCCGCCAGAATACGACTTGCGCACCGGAAAGCTCGTGGCCAGCCGGCCGATGAAGATGCCGATACGTTCAGCCAACGGCGAACCCAAGACCGGCGACGACAACGGGGAGGAAAGCAGCAGCAGCAAGAAGCCTGGGCAGTCGGCGTTGGTGAAGCGTGAGGTGGGCGAGGTGGCCACCATCAACGGCGTGCTTAGCCCGGGTGCCGAGTACTTGCGTTCACAAAGAACGTGGCAGGGTCTCGGGACGGACTACGATGAGGAGAGCAGTACTGTCGTCGAAGAAGGCCGAAGCGGTGTGGCGCGAGGTTATACGGTTGGCGAGGATGCTGGCAGGGCATGAAAAAGAGCGACGATTGACCGGGGGGGGGGGTTTTTTTTTCTTCTTTTTCTTTAACTCTTTATGAATCGGCGCAAGGTACGGTACCAAAAAAAATTAGACTGGTGAGGGCCTAAAGATACCAAAGTTTTCCATCATGAGTTGACATCTCGATGCTACTTTGTTCACTCATAGGAGAGGGTACCCAACGGTCAGTCGGTCCAGCCAGCCTGCCGTTCTTGGTGTTACGAGGAAGGGAAATCAGGAAGGCAATCATAAGTTCGGAAACAGACGGACAATGGATTGCGCCAAGGGTGAACACGGCAGAAAGAATGTTTTGAATCAATGTCGTTAGATTCGTCATCATTAAGAAGTATGCCGTCCACTATATGCGCCGGGTCGCTGGAATTACATGAACCATCCCTCAGCATCGTTCATATGCTCTCCACATCCTATCGTATCATATCATGGTATATCATCTCGTCTTCTTGTTGTTCCTCGTTCTTGTACATGTCGTCAAATTCCCTCTCCAAAGAAATGCAGTGCGCTTGTCGCTGTTTTCGGTCTGATGGGTCTTAAACGTAGACGCGACGGTGAGAGTGAGAGCTGCGACGGCTGTGGGAGCGATGGCTGTGGCTGTGAGAGCGGTGGCGGCGGTGACGGCCGTGGTGGTAGGACTTGCGCTCGTAGCTGGAGGATAGGTGGTCACCGTGCATCCAGGCGAGAACGGCGGTGAAGAAGAAGAGGATGGTGTTGATGATGCCAAAGACCCAGGATGCCTTGAGCATAGCACAGGGCTTGTTGGTGAAGAAGTTGAAGCGGGGACCGGAAATGGTGACGAGGCCGGGGAAGTTTGCAGACCAGCGGCCGTCGCGCGCGAGGTTTGTGCAATCGACGTAGTTGATGCCGCGAAGGTACCAAACGGCAGCAATGAAGGCGCCAACGAAACCAAGGTCGATGACTGCGACGAAGAGGGCATTTGTGCTGCTGCGGTGGTAGCTGAAGAGGGTAAAGATGGCCCAGGCGAGGGCGAGGACGGAGACGATGAAGAGGACGAGGATGGAATCGGGAACGATGGCGTTGTACTTTACGAAGCCATCGACGAACCAGGCGAGCATGCCCATGGTCGGGATCTGTGATGTCCATTGCATTAGCCAAAATTGAGTAGTCGAGACGATGTTGTTGGTGTTGCCAACTCGTATCAATGAGTGAGAAAACGTACCAAGGTGACGATTTGGAAAAATCGCGTCGCCGCGAACATGACGGCGAACAACATGGTGGGCGGTTGGGAGCCTAGAAGGCCGGGAAAGAAGCTACTGATTGCTATGTGGAAACGATGCGACAAGATGCGACGACGATATGCGCTGGCGGTAGCGGTGGTGTTGTTGTAGTCGTTGTTGCGCTTGCGACAGGCGGCGACGGATCCAAAGAGGTCTTGAGATAGACAGAGACAAAGGCGGCCGATGAACGGGAGCTACCAAGGTGTATAGGTAGAGTGAGTAGGTAGTGAGAAAGTAGAGAAGCAAACTCTTGCAAAGTCACTTATTTTTTTCTTTCTTTCTGTTGCTCGTGTTTTGTTCTAGAGCCCCTTCAGATGAACGGGCGGGTGGTTGGGATGGGGTGGAAGGGGCAGTTAAATAAACAAGGTGCGGCTTGCGTGTGAGAGGTGTGAGCCAGAAACAGAGCCAATGCAGGTCGGGTTTGGGTTTGGGTCAGCAAGTCTTGCAAGTTGGGACAAGCCCATCCGGGGTGGGCAGTAGCAGCAGATTGGTCCGGACCGGGGGGTGTGAGGAAGTGTGGGAGAGAGAGAAAAGAAGAAAAAAAACAAAAAACAGCAAGGCAAGCCGCAACGCGCACCGCCAGGTTTATTTTGGTGGTGGTGGTGAAGTGGTGTAATTCGTTGGTGTGTGAGTGAGTGGTATTAGTGGTGGTTCAGTTCAAATGGGGGAGGTTGGGCTGGATCGCGGGTTGCCAGTCAAGGATCCATGGACCAAGGATGATGAATGGTGAAGGGCAAGGTAAGGTAGCATCAGGTCGCGCAAGATGCCGGGTGCCCGTTGCCCGTTGCCCGTTGCCCGCCATTTTGTCATTCCCGTTGACTTTCAATCTCAATCTCACTCTTACTCTCACTTCAATCGCACTCTGCTGTGGATGGATAATCCGAAAGGTACCTCAAGACAGACAGTTATGAGAGTGAGATGAGATGGGACGGAATAGGCACGAACGGGGATGAAGGCCTCGCAATCTCGTAAAAGTGCAAGATTCACATGGATCTATCTGGGACTACCTTAGAACCAAGAGGGTTCCGGCTGCGCATCTCGGTGCAGCGGTTCGCGGCTCGCCCTGTCGTACTCCGTACTCCGTACTCAGTACCCAAGCCAAGGTATGAATTGTGTGTATCCGTATGGATGGATGTTTGATGGCACGGCCTTGCTTGACGGCTGTCTCCAGGGACGAGGGACGAGCAAACGGCCGTCAAACAATGACACGGACCACAGCCAAGGATGTCGCAGAGCGGGAGCCCGAGCACCGTGGATTCTCACTCACTAAGTACTCACTCAGGTACGGAGTTTTCATACCTTGCCTTACTCGCCTTACCTTACAATGGATAATTTCTTTTACTACCTATCCGTACGGAGTATACCCAGAGAGAAATGGAAGGGCATGTGAGGTGAGGTACATTAAGGTACCTAAGCTGAGGTGAAAAGTGGTTGCTGAAGCCTGACGGGTGGAAGGTGCGTCACCAGCAATGACGTCGGCGATCGGCACCCTCTCTCTCTCTCTCTCTCTCTCCCCCCTTTTGGCCGAGGCCTGCCCAGTTCCTTCCCTTGCACTTTCACTTTCCGGGCACCTTCCACCTTCCAAACGTCCACCCATTTGCTTGGGAAGTTTGGATACGATAACTCCTGGAAATAGGCAGGCAGGCAGGTAGGTAGGTAGGTACCTTACCTTCACGACATTCGTGAGTTTGTCACGGCGTCTGTACATGGTCGTCATCTCACATTGAGGCTGGCTCTTCCTTCAATGATGCATGCTGCAGAATGAAGGTGAGCCACCCGGGCGATGCGCTCATTGACGGCTGATTTCTTGCCCTGTCAATCCTGTCGATTCTGTCAATCGCATCGTCTATCCGTACCATCACTCATTCGATTCGGGACAATAAACCCGGTATCTCATCTCAGTCAAGGACTCGAGGTAATACCATTCATCTTGGGCTAGGTACGGACGGTCCACGGATACAAACAAGGCTTTGGTTTCCCGGCCAGCAGAAGTCAAGGAAGCGTGTCTAGGTCCAGAGTCCAGAATCCAGACCGGCAGACCCCAACCGTCCAACGGCAAACAACTCATCTCAAGTGGGGGTTTACTATGTTTCCAACCAATCCTGTATCTTCTTGGACGAGGAACCACTCCAACCTAAAATCGGCGGGGCTGGTCATCTTCCACCATTATTATCCACCATCTACATACCAAAACCAGCTTCTTTCTTCTCTCCGAGTACGAGTACGTACTGTATCATGCCGTATCACACCCCGCACACATATTCCAGTGGTAGTGGTGGGAAACACTTCATGCACTCTAATTCGCTCCCTTGCTCTTGAGAACGTAATGACCCATGAAGCATCACGACAGGTCACTCACTTCAAGGCGGTGATCGCGAAAAGGAAAGGAAAGAAACAAGTCAAGAGTGGGCATGATGAGGTGGCTGGGTTTGCGCTGGCCTCGACCCTGTTGCAAACTTCCAGGGGCCCCCATCCCACTCCAGTCCCATCGTGGGCCGTGGCATCGTCTCTCACAGTCTCACTCCCACTCTCAGACTCTCATCCACCCTTGTACGGAGCAGGCTCCTATGGATACGGAGGAGATAGAACAGACAGACACTTCGGGCTTAGATCCACACCGCATCGCCGGCAACGGCCTCACTCTCACGGCACGGCCCCAACACGACCCACGTGGAGAATCGGAGCGAGAAGCGACCTGGTGAGTGAGTTCGACCCTTTCCGTCTCACCTCGTTTACTCACCTTATCCACGCCTAACACTGCAAGGTGACCAAGTTACAGTTGCTAAGCTAAAGCTGGATGAACCACGTCACCGCCGCCGTCGATTCTGACAACCAACAAATTTGTCTGAATTGCGCCTTTTTCTGTGCCATAGTTAGTCCTCGTGATTCCAATTCCCCCTCTTCTGAACTCCAACCCAAACGTAAGATAGCCTTTTAGGTACCTTGCCTCAGGTAAGGTAACCCATCTGAACGCCATCTTGATGGGCGTCCAAACCAGCTACAGTCTACCCGACTTCACACCTAACAATTTTCTAATGCGCAAGTTGCCATAAGATATCACCGCGCATTCAAGGTAGGCAAGGGACGTATTTAACCAAGTAGCTAGTTATTCGTGTCTCATTCGACCAAAACAATACGAGTAAAATTAGCGGGTATCAATCACTCAATCAACTCAAGGTACTAAGTCATCTCCGGCTTTTCTTGTCCATCCTCAAGAGAAGAGAAAACCCAAAACATAGCTGTCCACCTGATATCTCTCACTTGCTACGTTCATGACCTCATCCTCGTCTGGTTCTCTTCATCGCTTTTCACCCCCAGGCCGTGACCGCGACCTGACCCCAGAGGTATATATACAAAGTCTTACTCGTCTCATCGTGCCAGCTCCATCCCCAAGATGGATTGGTTGGTCTAGCCTAGTCCACCTTACGGCTCGTGGTCATCAATTACATCCAAATCAAAATCCCGAATTCGTGGCGCCATGCTATCCGTCTCGGACCCTTCGCGCTTCACTCGCCCATGGTTATACCCGCCCCGCGCGCTTTTCCTATCCAACGTGTCATCTAGTGCAAGGAAGCCTCCCGACCCCGTAATGTTGCTCGGCAAGGGAAGTGACTGCTGCTCGTGCTGTGAGGTGCTGCTGGAACGCGCATAATTGCTGTGGGAGCTGTTGGCATCCAAGAAGGCGCTAAAGTCACGCCTTCGAATGGGCAGTTCCATTGCCTCTCCTCGATCCACGCTGCCGGCGCCGGTGCCGCCAAACGTGGTGGCACTGCGCATGCTGCCCGGTCCGCCGCCCAGTCCCTTAACGTTATCCCGCGATTGCGCTCTCTTCATGTTTGTACCGGGCCGACTGGATGCAGGTGTACGAATGCTGCTAGCCGTATCGCTTTCGCTCACGACGCTGTACGCCGAGCTGAAATGAGGCGCTGAACCCGTCGAGTGGATGGAGCGGGTCCCGGTCGTCTGGTACCCGGACCCCCGCGATGTTGTCGAAGCCGGGGCGCGCGGGTACGCAAACGGGCGGGCGAGGTTATGCACGGGGCTGGTGTTGCCGGACCCGCCCGAACTCTCGGCGCCGCTGTTGTTCGGCGTATTCCAGCTGTGCTGTGCCATCCAGCAGTGAGATAGCTCGTGCGATGCCTCGTCTGTCGTGCTAGATCCCTTCCAAGGAGGAACTCTTGTACCCCTGAGGCGGGGAGACAGATGGTACGGCACCCCGTCGCGATATCGCACGTTGGGGGCGTCTACTGACACACTCGCCAGCGTCTGGAGAATGCCGTAGATCAGAACCCAGCGGCCACGTCGGACTACGGCCGGATCGACCTCAGTGACGCTGTCGCCCTTTTCGAATTTAACAAAGGCGTCAATGAGGTCCGATTGGGTGAAGTCAGAACCGAGTATGTAAATGTTGGTGGCCTCAGTGTACGCCAACTGAACTCGTCGTTCCAGAGCACCCGCTCGACCACCGTTGTTGGCGCCTGCGCCTGTCTTCTTCTTGAACATGGAGCTCTCCTTTGACGGCGCGGGCGGGATGGATTCGGGTACCATGGGGTATGGATGCGGGATGTGTGGAAACCGCAGCTTATTGTCGAACTCGACGAGGATGTCTGTGACGGGAATGTCGATGTCGGCATCGAATCCCTTGTCCTTTTCACTCTGCATCATCCATTTGCGCCCTGATCGCGCCTCGGACATGTCCCACACAATATCGCGGTTGACGAGGTAGTCGTAGAGCGCCCCAAAGTCCTTTTGCAATGATTGTGCCACACTCCTCGTTAGCCACATGTCCTCGCCGTCGGAGTCTGGAAGGCCGGTTGTCTGCGCCGGTGGCCACGCTCCTTGCAAGTGAAGGTAGTGGTTCAAGAAGAACTTTTGTAAACGGTCTGCAGCCGCCTTTGCCTGACCACCGACACCTGCCGGCCACATGTCGCCATACTGGAATTCTGCGAGTCGTTCTTCGGCCGCCTGTACGCGAAGCTGCGTCTCGAGACATGCT